AAGTACTCGCTCACATACTCGGTATTGGCACCGATACTAGTATCGGTATTGGTGAATCCTTTTTAAAACCCTTGTCTGGTTTTAGGGATGACACACCGATGTTCACTGAGTCCAGACTTTTTTTGTATTGAATAATTCGTGGAATACCCCCTCCCCCCTTCATCATTGCTTATATAGTTTGTGCCCTTAAAAATGACTGAACTCAACGGGATTCGGGCAATATTTGAACTTGGAAAAATTAGCAGGTTGTGCCTAGATGTGAAACGCGCCAGCCTAGAACTTGTTCCTGCTGTCTGTTTTTTTAAATAAACGAAGTATATCATTCTTGCATCTTGGTGTGCGGCTTTCCTGGCTGTTGCCGGTTATAATTGGTCACTTTGGTGGAGATAAGTCGAGCTGGCAGCTGAGATGTGGCTATGGAGTGTGGAGTCCAATCTCACCTGGATCGGCATGTGGAATGCTTAGTATTGTTTTGCAATGTTGTGATAAATAATGACCAATGCTTGTTATGTAATACATTTTATTCTTGTTGTTTCTGACATCTTCACACTGACCTACGTACACTAAATCACTGAGCTCTATGAATATGACTTTGTCTGGTCTGTTCATTATAAATCAGGGGCCCAACTGAACCTAAAAATGCCCGGCATTGCTACAGTCTCACTCCAGCCGTTTGTTTGGAATAAAGGAATTGCCCCATTGAAGCAATTTCCATCCACTTCCTGTCCCAGAAACAGGTGTCACTGGACCATGAAATAAAGGAAAATGTCTCCGGGGACAAAGATAGCGATAAAACCCTGACACTTGCTCCAGTGAAAAAATGTCCTTCATTTTGGGATATTTTCTCTTAGCCCTCGTTCACACCTGAGCGTTTTGTAGCGTGTTCTACGCTCGACGAACGCTCTACAAAACGCTCAAACATCTAAATCCCATTGTATTCAATGGGTCTGGTTCACACCATGGCGTATTTCAGCCCGTCCCTAACACGCTACAAAACGGCCCACGCCTGAAAAGGTACATGTACTACTTTGGGCTGTTTTTGTTGCGCGTTTCCGTTGGGATACAGCCAAGTAGCCCTCGGAAACGCGCATTTGTCGCGTGATTTTTTTACCGCAAATCGCCTTATAAAAAAACGCGCGACAACCGCGCATATGCAATACGCCTAGGTGTGAACCAGGGCTTACTTCCTGTTCTGTACCTGGATAGGGTGTGACGGAAGATCTCCCTAACAGAAAACAAATGCATAAAAAAAAAAGAAAACTTCTCAGGGGGGTTTCAAACATTGCCCATATTGCCCAATGCAAAAAAATAGCAGTTTTGGCTTTAGATGTACTTTAAACACAACGGTTTTGGTAATAATAACTGACTCCACCTTTATCATCTTATCTGTACACAAGTAATACCCTAAGTGTCACTATGTTATATGTGACTGGTCTCTTTATACAGGGCATAGTGCTACTATCCCATATGTAATGGGTCCTTTTATACAGGGCATAGTACTACTATCCTATGTGACGGGTCTCTTTATACAGGGCATAGTGCTACTATCCCATATGTAATGGGTCCTTTTATACAGGGCATAGTACTACTATCCTATGTGACGGGTCTCTTCATACAAGACATAGTGTTACTATCCCACATGTGACGGGTCTCTTTATTCAAGGCACAGTGCTACTATCCTATATGTGATGGGTCTCTTTATACAAGGCACAGTGCTACTATCCTATATGTGATGGGTCTCTTTATACAAGGCACAGTGCTACTATCCTATATGTGATGGGTCTCTTTATACAAGGCACAGTGCTACTATCCTATATGTGATGGGTCTCTTTATACAAGGCACAGTGCTACTATCCTATATGTGATGGGTCTCTTTATACAAGGCACAGTGCTACTATCCTATATGTGATGGGTCTCTTTATACAAGGCACAGTGCTACTATCCTATATGTGATGGGTCTCTTTATACAAGGCACAGTGCTACTATCCTATATGTGATGGGTCTCTTTATACAAGGCACAGTGCTACTATCCTATATGTGATGGGTCTCTTTATACAAGGCACAGTGCTACTATCCTATATGTGATGGGTCTCTTTATACAAGGCACAGTGCTACTATCCTATATGTGATGGGTCTCTTTATACAAGGCACAGTGCTACTATCCTATATGTGATGGGTCTCTTTATACAAGGCACAGTGCTACTATCCTATATGTGATGGGTCTCTTTATACAAGGCACAGTGCTACTATCCTATATGTGATGGGTCTCTTTATACAAGGCACAGTGCTACTATCCTATATGTGACGGGTCTCTTTATACAGGGCATAGTGCTACTATCCCATATGTAATGGGTCCTTTTATACAGGGCATAGTACTACTATCCTATGTGACGGGTCTCTTCATACAAGACATAGTGTTACTATCCCACATGTGACGGGTCCCTTTATACAAGACATAGTGTTACTATCCCACATGTGACGGGTCTCTTTATTCAAGGCACAGTGCTACTATCCCACATGTGATGGGTCTCTTTATACAAGGCATAGTACTACTATCCTATGTGACGGGTCTCTTTATACAAGGCACAGTGCTACTATCCTATATGTGATGGGTCTCTTTATACAAGGCACAGTGCTACTATCCTATGTGACGGGTCTCTTTATACAAGGCATAGTGCTACTATCCTATATGTGATGGGTCTCTTTATACAAGGCACAGTGCTACTATCCTATGTGACGGGTCTCTTTATACAAGGCATAGTACTACTATCCTATGTGACGGGTCTCTTTATACAAGGCATAGTGCTACTATCCTATATGTGATGGGTCTCTTTATACAAGGCACAGTGCTACTATCCTATGTGATGGGTCTCTTTATACAGGGCATAGTGCTTCTATGTAATAACTTTTTAAAGGGTGACTTCAGCTTCTTGACATACGTGATATTGTAAATCAGGGCAATGAAATGTTACACTTTGTAAATAATTTTGCTTTAGCCCAAGACTTCAGATGTCTCTGTCTGGCACGTAGACTTGTCTGCAAGCTGAGAATGGAATGTTTTCTTACACAAGGCATTCATGTTTTGCCACATTACAATTGAGTTTATGAAAGACTTTAATTATTCAGTATGAAAAGATGATAATTGCACAGGCTTAAAAGTTTGATATTGGCATATTCGCTGACCTCATCTTCACAATATATGCTGACTTTTGTCACCTAAGTGTGCATAGCAGTTGCAAATTCCACACAGCCCCATTATTTTCATTCCTCTTAAAGCAACCCTGTTAACTAAAACATTTCACAAAACAATATGAATTAATACTTTCTGTCCCTCCATCTGCCCCACTGATCTTTGTTTTGCTGAGCTACATGGGACAGAAAAGCCTTTTGCATCTGAAACTTTAGGGGGTGTGTTGTATACCTGCATCTCTAACTGTGCAGTGGTAATATTCGCTGGCAGCTACATCACTACTGTGTACCCAAAACTGCTTTGTTATATATTTTTTTTAAAGTAACAGAGTTGCTTTAATTGTGAGGCTCCGTTATGTAATACTTGATTATGCATATTCAGGAGCTGGGAGACCACTAGTATTATCAGTATGCGCTAAGACGGTTCATAGGGCAGCAAGTGTCAGGTATAAGGGGGATCTTGGATCTGAAAGTTAGGGCTGAGAGTCCATCAAAAATTTAAAAGAGAAGACAAATGCAAGTCTTTTTTTTTTGTTTTTGTTTTTTCAGCCTGTGCTATTGCAAGAATTTAAAGGACCGGTCCATTTAGAAGTGATATTTTGGTTTTATAGGTGGAGTCTGGATGCCTGATTCAGCCCCGGGCTTCTTATATGTATTGGCTATTCCAACAGAGATCTCTTTGTCATAATGCCCGACCTCTATTCCTGTGCACCTCGGAGTTGTTTGTGTGTTACAGCTCCTCCTCTTAAATTCTTCATGTAGACCTGAGAACTCAGCACAGGGATGGTGGGAACCCCTCATAAAGGGCACAGCAGGCGTACACACCTGAGAATTTAGCACAGGGATGTTGGGAAACCCTCATAGTGGGCACAGCAGGTGTGCAGGCTTGGGGACCCGGTACAGGGATAGTGGGAACCCCTCAATTTGGGTACATTAGGTGTACAAACCCAGGAACTCAGCACAGGGATGGTGGGAACACCTCATAATGGGCACAGCAGGTGTACAGACCCGGGAACTCAGCACAGGGATGGTGGGAACCCCTCATAATGGGCACAGCAGGTGTACAGACCCGGGAACTCAGCACAGGACTGGTGGGAACCCCTCATAATGGGCACAGCAGGTGTACAGACCCGGGAACTCAGCATAGGGATGGTGGGAACCCCTCATAATGGGCACAGCAGGTGTACAGACCCAGGAACTCAGCACAGGACTGGTGGGAACCTCTCATAATGTGCACAAAAGTTGTACAGATTCAAGAACTCAGCACGGGGATGTTGAAACCCCTCATAATGGGCAGAGCTTGTATGCAGACCCAGGAGATGTTGGGAACTACTAATAGACACAGCAGGTGTGCAGACCCGGGAACTCAGCACAGGGATGATGGGAGCCCTTCATAATAGGCACAGCAGCTGTACAGACCTGAGAACTTAGCACAGGGATAGTGGGAGCCCCTCATAATGGGCATGTATGAAGACCCAGGAACCCGGCTCACCAATGAACTCCCTGAAAGACAGCAGAAATGATCAGATGGTTCAACCCTCCATCTACCAATACTTGAAATATTCGCTTTGAGTGGACTGACCCTTTTTAAGAGTTAAATATTTAAATTCTTGCATAAGCCCAATCAAGACTAGTCCTCTTTTAAGAAAACCATAATCAGCACACTGTTTTTGGAGCCCTGATTTATGATAATATCTCTATGATTATTCTTGCAGGATTGACCTGGGGCTGGTGATTTTGATATTTTCTTTTCTCATCTTGATTACTCCATGTTTACTTTTTTTATTCTCCTTGTTTTTGGCTTTCTATAGAACATTCATATAAAAACCTTGGCGGACGATGTGGTAAGGGGACTCTCTGACCTAGTATGCATGCCGTGTCCTGATCACTAAACATTTTCCACCAATGATACTAGAGCATGTGCATGATCTAACGCTTGCAGCTTGCGACATGATTATTTACACCAGGATCTCACTCTAATCATCTCTGTCCATTTGCCTTTTTAACGCTTCGTGCTTTGGGGATTTTCATCATCATAATTTCCTCTATGAGAGACTCTAATGCATGCTAATAATTGCCTTTAAATGCATGAAATGATTTACTTGCCTAAATCAAGAAAAACACTTATCTGATTATGTTGTCCTCATTGTCTGTTATTTTGTATATGTATTTTGTATCTTTATTTTCCTAATAATTGTTTACAATTGCAGCCTATAACTTTTGATGCTGGAGTCCAAAAGTTTTAGGGGAATTTAATTAATTTGGATTTATATATATATATACACGGAAGCACCACTGATGGAAGCCTTGCGGCAACGTACAATAAGCTCTATTTATAGGCTACGCTATTGAGCAGTAGATGGAAATAATTGCAGATAGGACACACTTCAGACAAAATATTTTCTTGTTTTATGGATGGAGTAGGGAAGGGTGTGAAACTGTGTTTTTTTTTTTAAATTGTTCTCTTTGTCCTCATGGTGGAGATAGCCCTTACTTCCTGTAGGATTACTGGAATAGCAAATGAGGAAAAATCTTGCCAATGCAGACAAAGTTGGTAAAAAAAACCAAAAACAATTTGAATTTCTAACTCTGTCACGTACCTTAAGGGGAGCCTGAGATGGTGAGGGCGGCCTCTCTTGCTGCTCCAGTCCAAACACCCCTGGATAGTGTGAACAGATGCGTGAGGACAAGGAGGGGGCACAAGTGTCGGTAGGTTGCGACTCCTGTCAGAGCTGCGTGCAAGTTGCAGCGGTCTCTTAGCAGGATGCAGTTGTAATGCAGGATCCTGGAAGCAGAGTGAAGACGAGCTGGGCCAGCAACAATCTGGCAGTGAGGTACACAATCAGAAGACGGGACTGAATCCGAGACAGGCTGGGTCAGTAACTTGCAGGGAGGTACCAGGGAGCAGGCAGAGAGGTCAAGGAGTACAGAGCAGGAGCAGAGGTCAAACAAGCCAGGTTGGTAACAGATGATCAAGCAGGTATACAGGTTTCAGGAGCAGGGGTACAGCTGAAGATCAGTCGTCAGGGAAGTCAAGGTGTCTCAGCCTTAAATAGCCCTATTGGAGCCATCATTAGGAATGAGCACATGCGCACGTCTGCGCACACGCTGTGGAGCGTGCACATGGACGTGCGCACACCTGTGCAGAGGCATGCGCCTGTGCACAATCCTCTGTTTGAGACGATGCACATGAATGCGCAGGTGCCTGTCCAGCAGTCCGGCCACAGTTTTTCTCTTTCAAAAATGTCTTCCTGAAATGACACCCACTTCCCGCTCACGTAACCATGCCATGTTCACCCATACGATGACCAGACTAGATCATAGCCTCATGCTAATGGACCTGATCGCAATTATAGTCCCTTTTAGAAATCAATGCTCCCACTAGTGACTGCTGGGGCCTGAGGACCACACAATAACTACCCTATGGGCCCCTTGAGCTGCAGGCTGGGTATGGGGGTCCTAACTTCATCAAAAGTGAATATTTCACTTTGGGGTAAACCCTGACATAGCCAGACCATAATCCTAAAATGATCTGCAGAATCCTTTCTTACTGTAGTGGTGGTCAACTTACTAGTTATAGTGATCCCCAGCAGCGGCCTTTGACAACCTCAGGGAGGCACACATAACATTCAGTAAATGCATTGCTGGTCAGAGGGTGCTGACATACTGATGGAGATGGTCAGGGACTGGTCACATGCTACAGGTGGAGATATGCTGCAGTAGACCGCTACAGACCAGGAACTTGTTACATGAGACTGCTATAAATCTCTTCAGTTCCAGCCCCTTTAGAAATCAATGCTCCCACTACTGACTGCTGGGGCCTGAGGACCACACAGTAAGTACCCCATGGGCCCTTGAATCACAGGCTGAGCACCAGAACCATAACTGCATCAAAAAGCAAATATTTCACTTTGGGGTAAATTACATCCATTTGGTGATTTCCTACTGTATGTTCCATGCTGACCAAATTATCAAAGGAGATAAGCAAACCTCTGAAAAGTTGTGGTTCAGCTGAACTTTAAAAAAAAAGTCATGAAATTCAGAATTTTCAAACTGAAAGTCATGTTGCAGTCAACAGAAATCCAAACCAGGATCCAAAAATGTTTGCATTACATAGCAGCAAATGAAGCAAAATTGTGCAGAGCAGTTTAGGTCACTCCCTTAGAAGCCTGGCCTGAGAAGGTGATGGGGTCAAGAAAAACCCCACTTCTTTGAAAATTTTAACGGGGATACTAAGATGCAATGGAGGGAGCTGGTGGCATTGGCGGTCAAGTTAAGGGGTTGTCAAGCTAAGGCGAAAACAGAAGCAGATATAAGGCAGAAGTAGCCTTTGGAGCAGCCCTTGGTCCCTTTCTTCTCAAAACCGTTTGGAAATCCTAACCACCAAAAATACCACCACAATTTGGCCACCCAAATCCATAAAGAAATTTGTTGCATCTAAGATTTGGGATAACTGTAATGATCAATAGCCACCCTCCACTTCCACGCTCATAGCAGGATTCATATAATCTCCCATTGTCTGGCTCTTCGTTTGCCTTTAAAAAAAAAATCATGCAGAGCAAGCAGCATCACCAGGGGAAATAAACATCGAAGCCAATGAAAGCCAGAGATCAAGGGCGCACGTTTCACCCCCCAACACCATCAGCCGAGGAAGAGGCACTCTCCGATTGTTAGCTATACTCTGACACCCTAATTATCACATCATTAGCATGTCATATAGCTCTTCCATACTCTAATGAGCCTATTCTTTTCCCATTACTGATAATGGTACACTGTAGCTGTTTATAGTGCGATTCCATTTCAGAGATATTTACAACTAGCTGAACCCCGGCTACGCCGAGCAAAATTAGATGTTGTTTTTCAATCCTGGCTCCATTCTCTCTTTTTTTCTTTTTTTGCTCTAATTTGATATTCCACCCTCATTCCCAGGCCTCCGGATTTCATTTTCTGCTCTCTGTTACTTGGATTTTGTTGTGTAGAGTTGGCCAATGACAGTAGATCTGGGACAGATGTAGGTAAGGGAGGAAGATAATGAACCATTTAAAAAAAAAAATATTTTGAACATCGATATATAGAGGACCAGTGTGCCAAATGGGCCATAGTGCAGTGATGGTATTTACCCGAAGGGCTTCTCTGACTCCCTGAGGGAATGCTGTCATGAGACAAATGTGTAGGCTGCCATTGCTATAATCCTTCTAAAGGTGCTAGCTATCCGGTGGTCACTAACTTGAAACAAGTGTGCAGCCATTGGAGTGAGAACCTCTAATCTTCCTCCTTGTTCCGTGGCTCAGAAAGCACTAAAGCTACGGGGTCATTGCCAAATGGGCCATAGAGTGTGCCAAATGGGCCATAGAGCAGTGATGGCATTAACTGGACGGGTTTCTGTGACTCCCTGAGGGAATGCTGTCATGAGACAAATGTGTAGGCTGCCATTGCTATAATCTTTCTAAAGATGCTAGCTATCTGGGGGTCACTAACTTGAAACAAGTGTGCAGCCATTGCAGTGAGAACCTCTAATCTTCCTCCTTGTTCCGTGGCTCAGAAAGCACTAAAGCTACGGGGTCATTGCCTTTTGAAGAAGAACACCATCACATTTTTTTTGTGTTTAGTTTTAGGGAGAGTAGGAATTTTTAGAATTTCCACTTTGTTATTATTGTTCAGTCTTAGTTGAAGAGATGTATTCTCACTTCCTGTACAGGTTCAAGCCATTGCCCATTCTATCCTAAACAAAAAATTGCTGGAGGTCCCTTTCTAAGCAGCAGTAATAACTGTGCACACCTTCTTGTAGTATATTAGGTGTTGACCAATGGCAAGCACTTATTGGTGAACACCTACAAACTTGTAATGTCTCTTACATTTCCTAAACGTTTTATTCTTTTAAGTTTTTACAAAACGTATATACAATTAGGACCCTTTCACATGTGTGCAGCGGCGTATTTAACTTTGCTGCTGCCCTAGGCAAGGCAGCAGCGCCGCCCCCTCCCCCGCAGCTTCTCGGAAAATCCCCCCTCCCCTGACTGACCCGCCGCTGCTCATACAGCACCCCCCCCCCCCCCCCAGCAGCAACGCCGCCCTCAGCGAATCTGCCGCTCCAGGCAAACACCTTGTTTGCCTCGCGGCAGATACGCCCCTGCATGTGTGGCGTCCATTCCAAAAAAGCAGGAGGTCGCCTGCACAGATCCCTTGCTGAACAGAACTGAATAGAAGACATCACTTTTCTTTATTTTTTTTTGAGGGCCTAGATGGGCTCAGGGGTTATTTGAATGTGAACGGGTGCAGGTCCATTTACATCTGACTCCCCATAGACTTACATTGAGCTTCCAGTCAGGTCCACCTAAAAAATACTCAGAGGCGAACCTGATTGGAATGCCATGTGAAATGGGCCTTATATACAACACCTAAATACAGTGGCAACTGCCACTGATACATCTTTGTTTATAACTGCCATAGCCTTGTTTATCAACAAAGCCATGTGATCACCATGTCAATGCTGACTGTGGCTTTGTTGGAAAACAAAAGGTTAGGGTTAGCGTTATTATTGTGGTTAGGGTTAGCGTCACTGTAATGTTTATTAATAGTGTTGGATTAGCATTGAAGTTGGCATGTGAGTTAGGGTTTTTGTTAAGGCTAGCATCAGAGTTAAGGTTATTGTTAGGGTTAGCACTGGAGTTGGGCCTTTTGTTAGGGTTAGCATTAGAGTTATTGTTATTGTCAATGCTGACTCTGGCTTTGTTAGAAAACAAAAGGTTGGGGTTAGCATCATCATTGTGGTTAGGGTTATTGCTAGGGTTAGCATCACAGTAAGGTTTATTAATAGTGTTGGATTAGCGTTCAAGTTAGCATGCGTGTTAGTGTTATTGTTAAGGTTAGCATTGGAGGTTAGCAAAGGCTACTTCTGCCTTATATCTGCTTCTGTTTTAGGCCTATTGTTAGGGTTATTTTACAGTTATTGCGGTTAGGGTTAGCATTGGAGTTAGGCCTTTTGTTAGGGTTAGCATCAGAATTAGGGTTATTTTAGAGTTATCATTGGAGTTAGGGTTATTGTTTATCAAGAAAGCCATGTGATCACCATGTCAAGGCTCACTGTGGCTTTGTTAGAAAACAAAAGTATATGGATAGTGTTGGGTTTTAGTTTACCGTTATGGCTAGGGTTATTGTTAGGGTTAGCATCATTGCAAGGTTTCTTAATAGCGTTGGGTTAGTGTTGGCGTTAGGGTTAACATCGTGTTAGCGTTGGAGTTAGGGATATTGTTAGGGTTAGCGTTGGAGTTAAGGTTATTGCTGAAGTTAGCATGTGAGTTAGGATTATTGTTAAGGCTAGCATCAGAGTTAAAGTTATTGTTAGGGTTGGCATTGGAGTTAGGCCTATTGTTGGGGTTAGTGTGAGAGTTAGGGTTTTTTCACAGTTATCCTTGGAGTTGGGGTTAGCATTGGAGTTAGGCCTATTGTTAGGGTCAGCATCAGAATTAGGGTTATTTTAGAGTTGTTATTATTGGAGTTAGGGTTATTGTTTATCAAGAAAGCCATGTGATCACCATGTCAATACTCACTGTGGCTTTGTTAGAAATCAAAAGTTTAGGGCTAGTGTTGGGTTTTAAGTTATCATTGTGGTTAGGGTTATTGTTATGGTTAGCATCATTGTAAGGTTTCCTAACAGCGTTTGGTTACGGTTACTGTTTGGGTTGGCATTGGTGTTAGGGTTCTTGTTTGGTTAGCTTTGGAATTAGGGTTATTGTTAGGGCTTGCATTGGGGCTAGGTTTTTTTAGAGTCATCATTGGAGTTAGGGTTATTGTTGGGGTTAGCATCAGAGTTAGGTTTATTTTAGAGTTATCATTGGAGTTAGAGTGAGTATTAGGGTTAGCATTGGAGTTCGGATGGTTGTTAGCATTGAAATTAAGGAAAGAGAGGGCTTTGTTTATCAAGAAATCTAGTGCTTTCCATGCAAGGACTGACATGGTGATCACATTACTTTTATTTTAGAAAACAAAACCATGTTTTTGCTTTTTTTATCAGCAAATATAACCTAAGCAGTTCACCTAACAAATTTCCAAGTGTAACTATGGACAAAAGTTAAAAAAAATAATACATACCTATATGACTCAGCCGGTCATTAGCATTATTACAGCATTTTTTTGTATCATAGTGCGGCATAATGTTTTTTCTGTCATATATGTTGTCTTTCCATTCTCTTTAACAGGGTGGCAATGAAGGCTAAATTTATAATTTTGATGCCAAATTTTGTGGAACTCGCTCTGCTCATCTCTAGACAGGATTGGTCAGATGGGGCAATGCAGTGGGGATTGCTGGATTGAAACACTTGGCAAAAAAATGTCCTGCAATTAAATTCTGGACTTCAGGAAACAAAATCTTATTCAGTCATCTTAGATTCCAATTTCACAAATTTTTGATACATTGTTTTGTATCATGTTAGATATCTGCTATTATAGAATGAATGCCTTTACTTTTATCTTTCACATAAATTGGTATTGTTTCTTTTTTTTTTTACTCGTAGAGAGACAGGTTAACCAGTTTCAGAAAATCTGGTGTGAAAAAGGAGAAGCCATTTATCCAGCACCTCACCGACTCACAGTCAGCGGTAACGGAGTTCCCGATCCCGGAGGAAAGCAAGATGAACCTTTCTGAGAAGGAAATTATGGATCTCTTCGAGAAAATGATGGTGAGTGACTTTGCATTCATTAGAATGGCTTCAGTGCTGAGGGCTCATAATTTCATGTATTAAAAGTCGCCCATTGAATAGGGATGAGTAAGATTTAAAATTGTAATTTTGCTGAAATTTTAGGAAAATCAATCCATAGAGAAGGCAAAATTAACCACTTAAAGTGACGCTAAGCTCAGGAGTTAAATCTTTCAAATGCATTCAACAACCTTAACGATAGCAAAAAATGTATCTTATTTGTATATCACTCGGCTGTAGATCCTCAAATTGTCTCTGAATTGGTACTGACACTGTCCTTCCTACTGGAGGGTGGCGACTTTTGTTCCCCATGGTCCCTGTGTGTGTTGTAAAGTAGTCACCGCTCCAAGCTCACTCCCGGGATGGACTACAATCTTAATACAAATTAGTAAACTAACATTGAGATTGTAGTCCATCCCGGGAGCGAGCTTGGAGTGGTGACAAATTTACAACACACACAGGGACCATGGGGACAAAAGTAGCCCCCCTAAAGAAGGAAGGACAGTGTCGGCACCAATTCAGAGATGATTTGAGGATCTACAGCCGAGTGATACACAAATAAGATACATTGTTGCTAATAGTTAATGTACTTAATATATTTTTAAGATTTAACTATTGAATTTAGTGGCACTTTAAATACCCAGTGAAAACTACTACTGGAAGAATGACCACTGCCCCATTTAAGCGTTTTTTCCGTCACCATGCTGGCATATGCTTTCCTACCATCATGTCCAAACACAAGGGGGGGGGGGTCAAAGATTTTGAATGTAAAAGATACGTCCAGCTCCTATCCACCTGCCAATATTTCTGGCAATCACTGGCTGTCAAAATGGCAGCCAGCAATTGCTTGGTAATACACAACAGCAGCAGCTGTTAAAATGCAGTCACTCCTGTGTAAAATTACACTTGCAGAGAGCCTGCGGGTTTCATTGAGTAAATATATTGTTTCATTGTATTTATTAGGGATGCACCGATACCAATACTAGTATCGCTATCGGTGCCGACACCGAGTATTTGGGCAAGTACTCATATTAGCCCAAATGCTCCCGATACTTATCCTCATACCGGAACTTCCGGTATCAGGAAGCCGGACGGCGAATCATTTAAAAATAAACTGTCACTGTACCTGCTTAAAAATATTAGCTGAAGTTCTGACTTAATTTGTTGTTTAAATGTAAATCTGCTAGTTCATCTAACACCACCCTCCACACAGGGTAACGATGATGTTGTCACAAGGTGGCTCCAGTGCTCCTCCATACAGTGTAGTTACACTAATAAAGGAAGAGTGTTACTGACCGGATCACATGGTGATAATAAAGAGGAAAAAATGCCCCAAGAAAGGAAAACTAATGCAGCCACCACATTTAAAGAGTAGATTCACTTTCCCAGGTGAATTTGGGAAAATTGAATTACCCCCACCAGTCTGCTTCCTCTCCCCCTTTCCGCTGCTCTTACCTTTTTGAATGAATGCTGCTTCCCCTTCACTGCTTCCAGTTTACAGTCTGTACATGACATCACAGCCCTGTGCTTGGTATTTCAAATTAGGCTTGCAAATGAAGAGCATTCATTGGTCAGTGCAGTTACCTAACTTGCTAAGAAGCTCGTGTTTCTCATAAGTCAGTGCGATCCAATGAGTGCTCGCCATTTGCGAGCGTGATATGAAATACATAGTGCAGGGCTGCAATGCTGTATATGGGGGACACATTGTATACTGGCAGCAAAGGAGGGGAAGCAGCTTGGTGGGGGTAACTCCACTTTCCCAGATGAATTTGGGAACATGGAATTAGCCACACCAATCTGCACCCTCTCCCCCCCTCCCGCAACTCTTACCTTTTGAATGAACACAGCTTCCTGTCAGCGGCTGCCAGTGTACAATGTGTCCCCCATACACCGCATTGCAGCCCTGCACTATGTATTTCAAATTACGCTTGCAAATGGTGAGCCCTCATTGGACCGCACTGACCTATGAGAAACACTTCTTAGCAAGTTAGGTAACCGCACTGACCATTGAATGCTCTCCGTTTGCAAAGATAATTAAGTGCTGGGCTGCAGTATATTCCATTTTTGTTTTTGGGTTTAGATACAATGTAATAAATAGAAAACAAAAGGAAACAGAGCGCCACCTCCGTGTGTAAAATCGTTTATTAAGATAAATAAGGGATATATGTACTCGCAAGCAAACGTTTTCATCACGCTTTACCAACAAACACGAGGAAACACTGTCTGTTAACCCAACATGGTATCGCCCCGACTATGTACCACGGCTGCCTCCGGTCACATCACCGTTCACCGGCCACAGTCAGCCAAGATTGCCGCGTTTCAGGGGCAAGCCCCCCTCATCACAATCATAGCTTGCTTTCCCTGATAGTGGGGTAGAAGACTGGAAACCGACCAATCAAAGAAAAATTCTGCATTGTGACTTGTCAATCACTCCAAGACAAGATGTGGTGGAAGCCCCAGAGCCTTGGATGAGCAGCCCCTCAAGTCTGTGTGAAAAACTGTTGAATACTTTGCTTATGCAACAGCAAGTGGATCGTTCAGCTGGCAGCCATTAGCGCCAAGAGTTAAAGAAAACAATATAATAAATGATAGGTCCATTTTAGGACAACCATATACAAGACACAGGCAACTTGCTACAAAGTTGCAGGGCGTTCTGAAGAAGGGGGCGTGACCCCGGAAACGCGTCAACGACGCCACTATTCAGTGGCACACAGATTGCAGTCCTGAAACTGGTGTTTCTCTGTAATCATCCGTACGCTGTTGTTTGACCTACCATTGTGAGTACCCTTGCACTCCTGTTTATCGTGTCTTTTAAAATTAAAAGGATTATCTGCACTAGGTTGGGCGCCCTTCTGTCTCTTTTGTCTTCCAGTTTACAGTTTCCCCGGGTGAAGTGGGGCAGCACCCCTAGTAATCCTGTACACATAACACCCAACATCAGGATTCGTCCACAGCGCTTTTTACTTTATTTTCAAAGTTGCAGTGCAGAACTGATTTCATCTCGGGATATTTTTGCCAAGATGAAAAGGTTGAGTTTCCCCTTTAAGATGGGCCGCTACATGCTTGTGTCAGCTATAAGAGCGCTGTATGTGGATCTGCTTTTAATACTTTCTGCATTAAAAGGGACCATTAAGTGATTAGGTTGGGGCTATAATTTGCAAAGCGTTTTATGATCCTAAATGCAGGATCTTTGTTTTAACAGCCATATACTGGAATGGGTTGAGTCATTCCCTATTAACGGGGAAAAAAACAAAAGCGCGGCTAAATATATCTGTGATGTTACTAATGCCAGCCGCCAGTGTAAATAGATTGAAAATATTAGATAAAATTAAAACAAATTACTGAACATTATCCTCTCTTTAAAACTGATTCACACACTGCTAATCGCATCATTTTTCTTTTGTTTTATGCCGTGATGCTTACTGTGAATTTTTACTGTGCTTATAATTCAATAAAAACGAAATAATAATTAAAAAAAATGTACTTGACAAAGCTCTCTGCCTGAAAAGGGGAACTCGAGAATTCCAAATGCTGAAGGAAAATGCTGGTAAATGGAATTTCAAAATGTCAAACTTTTTTTTAAAGTAGCATGTTCCTTAAAGTAGAATTATGAGGTGAGTGAAAATCACTCAGCCTCATAATCTGAGCTGACCTGTGACAATGAGACTGTCACAGGTCGGTTCAGTAAATCGGGAAGTGAGCGAACACATACCGTCACTTGCTTACTTCCCGATCTATTCCTGCAGAGAGCAGTGACTGTCACTCACGGCTCCCTGCAAGGATTCCCCCCCCTCCCCTGTCCGATCCTCCAGGGCTGACTGGCGGAACGGACGGGGGAGGGGGTGGATACAGTTGGCTCTGCCTCTGCATAGGCAGAGCCAGCTGTCAATCCCGCAGCTGGGTGGATCTCGACAGCAATGTCAGTATCTGTGCCGGCTGAGGCGTCTCAGTATACCGCGAGCTGTAGCTGAGTTTTGGGTCACGGGAGGACGCTAGTTTGAGTTCTCCCGTGACCCTTAGGAGAACCATGGGAAAAAGCCCTGACCCCATAGGTCTCCTTTTAAGCAGTAAATCTGACATTCACCAAAACGTTCACTGCAGGTTATTCTTCAAGGTGCAAGCGTTTTGGGGGAAAAAGTTCACCCGCCTCCCAGCCCCATCTAACCCATCCTGCATATTTTTTTTTTCTTTTTCCATGAAGAAATGTATATTTATCGAAGTCTGTGGTCCAGGTCCCTTTCTGGATGTGGGTGGTCTACTAATCCAGTGCTGCAGATGTGCTCCGATTGAGCCTCTCCTCTTCGTGCCATCACTTGTCTCATTTTCTTGAAGTAAATAAAAAACTTGACCTTGCAATGGGGTCAACCCTGCACTGCAAGGGTTAAGTGCTCCTTTTGTCTAGGGCCTTGGTTCTCAACTAGTGGGTCGCGACCCCATGTTCGGTGGGTCGCCGCATGCCTTCCACTTTTCTAGGTGAGAGACTCCTCTGCCTTCCCCTAGCGCAGCACTGTCAGTTATAGCGCCAAGCAGCCATTCAAAATATGCTGCCCAGTGCTGAGTGTCAGCTTTAGGTGGGGCCGGCTGGGGCAATGGCCGTGAAGGAGCTCCATCCATACGTGCGTTGCTTACAGCTCCCTAACATGTCCTGTAGAAGTGCCTGGACTGGAGTGATGTCACATTCTGGCTCTCGGCACCTCTACAGGGCGCGCAATGGAGCTGCACAAGCGATGCACATATGGATGGAGCTCTGTCACAGCACAGCAGCCCGCACTGGACCTCAGGCTGAGGACCCACTCCAGTTCTCGTAAGGTAGAGAGACTGGGTGTGTGAGAATGTGTCTGTATGTATGTATGTATGTCAGTGTTCTTGAGGGCCCGTTCATACTAGAACAGTGAGTCAAACTGTACCACACAGTAACAGCTACTGTGCATTCTGGTGTGGGAGGTGTGTTGCGTTGCTATTCATTTGAATTGTACTTCAAATGCACCTCCCACCCACAATGCATACGGCTGCACCAGAACATGTAGTACCCTAATGCTGTGCGTTCCTTTGCAGTGCAAATTGGGTCGCGACTTAATGGCCAAGGACAAATGTGGGTCCTGAGGTTACATAGGTTGAGAACCACTGATCTGATCTAGGGGATTCAAATAAAGCAGATATACTTACCTGATCCTGTCTCCCACCAGCTCCCTGTGGGCTGGTCACCGTGGCCTCTTCTCCACTTGGCTCCTGCATCAGGACCATTGCATCATCACATCTTGATGGTCTATTGACCTGCATACAACCTGAGAACGTTCTATAGAACGTGAGAGTCATAGCAGAGGGGGAGAGAAGTGTGTCAACAACAGTTGGAGTGAGGATCAGGTGACTACAGCATATCTGCTTTATTGGAGCCCCTCAGACAAAACGATCACTTAAAGGTAAGATTTTGATTATCCCAAAGGGAGCAAATTTATTTATAAATCTGTTACAAAGTTTCTTACTTGGAGATTCTGCCAGTAACAGCACTTCCTGTTGCAGGATGACTGTGCTAATCTGCTGAGTCACAAATGGCAGCCAGCTGCCATGCGCGCCCCTTCAGTTGACTGTCTGATGGACCTGACCATCAGTACAACAGGCAACACATGCTAAGAGCTCATCCCCTTGGATGGCACCATGCAGATCTACAATAGAAGGATGAAAAGTCACCAACACTCCAATGAGACTGTCACACATTTATTTGTGGAATGTCACGTAGTCAATAGGTCAACACCTGGGAGCTTTCAAGAGTCCCTTCCTCAAAGAAACATGGTGACTACTTGCGGTAGCAACCCTGCTAAGTCTTTTAAAACGTCAGCTTTATTTAGTTAAAGGCAACACATTGTAACTGGGAATCTTTTCTAAGAAGGCAGCGAATGAGATGGTGCATGAAGGCTGGACATGGCTACAGCAGTAATATCTGCTCATGAACAGGGTCATACCATATCAGTATGCGCTATGGCTGTTTTACTTTGACTGGTATTGCAATCACATTTTAAGTTAAAGATTAATCTGCTTTGATTGCCAGGGAAGGCACAAAATAAGATTAATCTTCAGCTTCAACTTTTCCTTAGGGCCTGTATCAATGTGCTTTTGTTTGCCTCAAGCAGGTTTTGTATTCCCATTCATGTCTATGGACAGAGTTGTTCGTATAATGAGGCAGCCTGAGCTGAGTCACGTGGGGGGAACTCCCGGTGTGCCTGCCGCCCCTTTCCAGCCAGAGTGTCACAGGTTGCTAAGAGCTTTTAGCAACCTGGGACACGCTGACCGGCATCCCTTCCTGCTCATTTGCATCACTGGTTGCCAGGAGCTTAGCAGCATGATATGTCTGGTGTCCTGCCCAGCTCTTGGCAACCAGTGCTGCCTGTGAGATGGGCTTGACGCCGGACAGAGCCAAAGCCAGAGGTAACATGTATCCTCCCTCGTAAAGTGACCTCCAGAATACCTCCCCAAGTCGGTACCGTGCACTACCAACCCCCTTTCCTCTAGTAACCTATATCACCACCCCCCGGCCTCAGGAGGCTAGAAGTGTAGGGGCCCCCCTGTCTATGGGAATGTAAAACCCGCATGAAGCAGGTCAACTGCAGGTTCAGCATGACAATAGATGACCAGCATGTTCATGTGGAGAGGGCAAGGATGGCATCCTATATAGTTCAGGTACAGGGGTTCATTTATAAATGCACTGCACTAGCACCCTTAGATGGCTAGTATAGGATCAGCAGTGGAGAAAGACGATGCAGTGGTTGTAAGTGTCATGTAAACGTGGATTCCACCGTCACATCTTGCTGCGTCCCGCAGAGTATTCGCTCGCTGTGAAAAGCTCTATTGAAGTCTCAGAAAAACCAGCTGCATCTGTGGCAGATTGTCACTCACTCCGGCCCTATTCGCTCACAGCCGAGACACGTTCTCAGGAACAGATGTGACAAGAAGCGCACGTTTCCACCTCGCTACAAAGTAACAGGCAGGATAATTAATTTCCCACAAATTAGCATAATTTCACTTTGCATGACAAAATTAGCTTTAAAGGGCCTCTCCAACCAAATGGATAAATACACAGCCAGCGAAGTCAATATGCCTTGCAGTGCTGGGGTTCTCGCTTCGAATCCTGGCCAGGACACTATCTGCATGAAGTTGGCATGTTTTCCCTGTGCTTGTGTGGCTTTCTTCTGGGTATCCTCCCGCTAAAAAAAATAACATCCACTGGCGCCAATTAAAACCATCCTTGTGAAAAGAGGGAAAACTCCAGAGAAGCGGGACAGCTCCTCACAGTCATGGAAAACTGGGTATCTACCAGAAGAGAAGCAAAAGGAGCGCCCCCATAGTGTAATATGGACTTTATTGGATTATAAAAAAAACTAAAATGTACTCTCAAACAACCATTGATAACAGGCTTGTAGTGATAAGATCTCAAGAAAGCGAAGGATGGATGAACATATGAGGCTTTATAAGTGCAGGTGAGGAGTTGAGTCCTTCTTGCTGCACATCATCCTCTGGTTGACAGTTTTCTGGGGCTGAACTCCTTTCATCAGAACCTCCCACTTTCCAAAGACATGTTGGCAGGTTAATTGGCTCCTGTTAATGTTGGCCCTAGTACATGTTTTATGCTTGAGTCTAAAAATTCCAACTGCAACCCTGGTAGTACTCTCTCAGGTACTCATTTCAAAACATGAAACCACAGAATAGTATGTTTCTGAGGTTTGATGTGCTCCAAAGATCGGAAAATTGACATGTTTAGTAGAATGGAATAGGATGGGAAGCAAACGTAAATTTCTACACATCAGTCAAGTGACTTGTAATACAATGCATGCTCTCTAGGGAGTGACCCCTTCTCAGGAGGGTGACAAATCTTTTCAACTTGTGAACTTTGTCCATGCAGAAGTACATAAGAGCTTTATTCTAGTAGCAGTGTACACAGTACTAAGATCTCTGGGTCGCCCCCCATGTGGCAGCACTGGGCCAATCAGCCAATCGGCACCCTCACAAGGAGTGATTTAAAGTACGGGGCATCTTCTTTGCTCCCAGAAGCTAGATTAAGCTGCAGAAGGCCAAAGAAAAAGTAGGTGGGTATGTAAGATGAGACATGAATGCTCCTTTTGCTTTGTCCATGGCAGAGGAAGCCATGGCACAAAGCTTTGTCCATGGCAGAGGTAAACCTCACAAGGATGACCATGGTAAACCTTGTGACATTCACTTTCTACTAAATCTTTCATATATAGCAAGATTTTGACAAGTGAATGTGGGGTGCTAAGAAGGCAACATAGCCGACTAGATCGGGGACAGGTGAGTTCCTAATAAGAAAGTAGGACAAGTCAACAATGTAACCAACATGATTCTCTTAGGACAGATTTCCATTAAAATGCTTTCAATCGCATACAGATTGAGCAATGCAAATTCTAATCTGCCCCTTTCCTTCTATCTTGCTTACAGGAAGACATGAATTTGAATGAAGATCGAAAGGCACCTTTGCGTCAGAAGGACCTGTCAAGGAAGCATGAGATGGTGGTCCAGTACATCTCCGCCACTGCCAAGTCGGTAAGATGGCACTTTTAAAAGCTTCTTTAGCGACGGCCAATTCTCGTCTTGAAGTGTCCATTGTCGCCACTTACAACATTGGTGTATACAGTATATAGCTGTGCGAATGATATTTGTGGACCATTACTGCCATTAGATGCAAATGAAGAAATTCCTATACTCATCGGCTTCATCTAGTGGCAGTAATTCGCTGTGTACAAAGCAATACGTTGTGCGAATGTATTATGAATCAGCTTTTTAAAGAGGCATTGTCACTTTGCCTATTCAAAGCAATGTGATGGCAGATAGCCCCCCCCTCTCAGCAATGTAGACAACGCTTCCCGCTGTAGGGGTCCAACCTGGGTAAGCAGAGCAACAACACCAGGTGGAGACCTGCACAGACCGCAGCTTCAGCAAGTCAATCCTAACCAAATCTGGTAGTGCTTATATGCAATTCCATGTAACGCAGCCCATCGGAACACAATAGGCTGTGCAAACTTGTAGCATGCCCTACACCAATGCGGTGAGTTGAACAGAAGCCATTGGATATAATGCAAATTGCCTTGTTCTTGTGTTGGGACTGCATTGGGCAACGGTGTCTAATGTAGCACAACACTGCCACTGTGAACGAGCCCCCTTAACACCAACCTCTGGTATCCTGAGACCTTCAACTCAGAAGACAAATACCTTGAAGATTCCACGACAAAAGTCGAAGCCATTGTCTTTGAACAGCGGCTCTGGGTGACCACAGGCAGAAAATATGTTCCAGTTGATAAGAAAAAATTATACCAGAGCCCAAACAACGTCCATTTTCAAGAAGGCTCTGAATCTAATAGTTTTATTAAGGCATTGCAATTAATCCTTTATCTTATTATTTATTTATATGATTGTTTTGCTAGCGACCCAGGAAACACCAATTTCATTTTCTGCAATGTGCAGTTTTTTTTTTCTCTCCTTTTTAGTCACCAACAGGCAAAATTATTAGTAATTCTGTGAAATGAAGACACACCAGGCAGGACTAAGATAAAGCGGTGTATGAATAATAATGTTATTTAATCAAATTAATGGCTACAGATATAATTGGAATTTGTGCATAAGCGCTGTGCTATTTTTTTTTTCCATGCGTTTTTGCTTTCTCATGCGTGTTTGAATGCTGCATGTATGCGCGGACCTGCTTAACATGAGTGTCGTAATGGAAACCGCAAACCTTTTTAAGGCACCAGCAGGGACATACCATGTAAAAAATGGGGGGGGTCAAATCTATGCTTAAAATGATTGTGCTAGATTATACCAAGTGTAATGGCAGTGGCTTTCCCATATTCCGGGGGAAAACATCCTTAAGTTGGGGTTTTTTTTTTCTCGGGTAGTGAGAGTCCACATAGCATTTTGCAAGTTACAAACCAGCTTAATTGTGTTTCCAGACTCTGGGAAACTTAAAGGGGCTGATTTATAAAACTTCCACCCAGCCATATGCTGGGCGACTGCTTTTTGCACACTATTGACCAGTAGTGTAGTTGAGAAGTATAGGAAATTTCTATGCTCCTTGGCTCCATCTAATGGCAGGGATGCCATGCGAATGGCATTCACTCAGCGTATGGCTGGGCGGGAGTTTTATACAGCAACCCCAAAGTGTGTATAATGGGTAAAGTGTGACGTGAAGGGTTAAAACCCCTATCCGCTTAAGTTTTGGTCTCAATAAGCAATACATTTCATATCATAATGTTAAAAAACAATCAATAATATACAGAATAATTTTGATTTCAGGATTTGCAGTCCTTTTAAGCTGTTCTTATAATAAACTCATTATGACAGACATGTGGGACTGCCTTCGATGACCACCTTCTAAAAGTTCAGATTGCTTGGCTGTTATGTGGATCCACTAGCTACAGCATTTGCGCTACCGTCCAAAAATAAGTATCAGGTGTCACAGAAGTCATAGAAAGCACATAGAAAGATCTGATGTCCCTAACTGTCTGCTTCATCCAGGTCAGTCGCTCACAGTATCGGATCCAAAGATTCACCATGACAGTCAAGGAACTAGTTATGCTGTATATCCTGCTCCGTTCAGGAGCATAGGGTCACATTTCTGTAGCAAATTCTATATTTCGGTTACAATGGGTTGTTGGCCTAAAGTATCCTATCCTCATGATGGGGCTGCCATCTTAGATGTGGCTGGTGAGGAACAGCATTTCATTATACAGACGTTCAGTCTGAAACAGATGGCGTTTGAGCCGCCCCTAACATGGGACCAGACGCTCTGTGCAGGCGATTAGCTATTTTAGAAAGGAAGGTCGGCAAGTTTTGTTTCAAGAAATACTTTGAAATGTCCAATACTTCAGCTGGATTTTACACGATACGGCCCAAAGTGTGTGGACACCTGACCATCACACCAATATGAGCATGTTGAACATCCAAGTCCAAAACCATGGACATTAATATGGACCCCCTGTCCCCTTCCTTGCAGATATAACAGCCTCCACTCTTTTCTGAAGGCTTTCTACGAGATTCTGGAGGGTTTCTGCGGGAATTTGTGCGCATTCAATATTTGTGAGTTCAAGTAGTGGTGTTGACCTGGCTCACAAATAACTGTCCAATTAATTCCAAAGGTGTTCAGTAGGGTTGAGGTCAGGGCTCTGTGCAGGACACTCTAGGTCCTCCTTATCAAACTCATCAAACCATTTCTTTATGGAGCTGGCTTTGTCATCAAACTGTTACCACAAGGTTGAAAGTGTTCAATTGTCTAAAATGTCTTTGTATGCTGTAGAATTAACAGTACCTTTCGCTGGAAGCATCTGAACATTTGGAGGGGTGTCCACATTTGGGACAGTGTTGGTGTGATGGTTATGTGCCCACAAACCTTTAGCCATGTAGTGTATGTCCACCCTTGGATTCCCCCTGATTGTGTTCCATCCTCTCTGTCATGTCCACGTCTTCCATGTCCACGCCTGCCATTGAATGACCTTTGCTTTTTGAATGTGCCATGAAATGACTACAATAATGATATTGCTGATCGCATCATACACATTACAGTCACTTCAATATGAATTGATACACTAGTGCATGAATTCCATATTCAATGTTGGTGAAAAATAGCATGTGTTTGTATAAACGTGTCTGTCTTGCGGGATTAGCTGTCTATGCGGGTGATCTAGTCAAGTAACCGTTAGTTATTAACCACAGGTTGGCCCTGCTTGAATCTACTACTAATTGTGCTGTTTGTTTTTCCCACCTTCTAATCCTTTCTCCGCTGAACCCCTGCATGCAGATAACTGGAAGTAAAGCTATGGTGAGTACTTCTCTATGTTATACGTCTACAATAGGTAAGCATTGTGTCTTTTATTACACTGGTTGTGGCTTTTTTTTAAGCATGTAGTATTTATTGAATTTTCAAATCGGATACAAACGACAAGGCATCATAGTAACTTGGCATGTGCTCAATACATTCGAGAACACGTATGATACATGGTTACAGACTTTTATATGAGTCAACAGTAATCGGGAAACAACTATGACAATATCAATAGTCATTATAGCCACAAAGTAACAAAACATAAGTGGGTTGTCAGTCCAGAGAGAGCGAGAAGAAGACAAACAAACAACAAACATTGCTTCATGTTTGCTCTTGAAAGGGTACGTATTCGGAGTGCACCAGATAAGAGTGGAATAACATAGAAGATGGGACAAACTGAGTGTCAAGGGTCGAGAAATGTCAAGTAGTGGAGCAATAAAAATGAAAAGGGCACCACCATCTCGGGTCACATTTGAGCATCGGAAACAGCGCATCACCCAGCAGAAGGATATCACTATCAGTGGGACTATAAAACATCTAAAACCCCAATGAGCCGTCTAACTTGGCCATATCGTACCATTTGGAAGGTCGGAAGGCCCGCATAATGTCCCTAAGTTGAGCTAGGGATGATAATGTGGTGAGGAACGCTGACCACGTATGGAAGAACTGCCCCGTTCTTTCTGAGGGAGTCAGATTTGTCAAAGAGCATGAGCCTATGAAGGGTGTTGGTTAAGTCTTCCGCAGTAGGGATGGTAGGGAGCAGCCAATTGGTGAGAGTGGTTTTCTTGGAGTGGCTGTAGTTTAAAGAGTTATGTACATATCAATGACCGCCATCTAGGCTGTCTCTTGCAACTGTTGCAACTCAACTGTGGTCTACCCTTGCTGAAGAGAGTTTAATAGAACTAAAGTGTCTTCTTTGTTATGCAAAAGAGCCACAGTGTCCTTTTATAAGTGTAGTGAAACTGTCATCAAAATGTATAAAACTTCCACCTTCTGTATAGCTGGGTTCGCAGAGATGAACTGCCACTAGGTGGAGCTAAGGTGCAAAGGACCCAGCTCCATCTAGCGGTAGTAATGTTGTACAAACTTAATTCACCGCACCTACGCGCTGGGTGGAAGTTATATACATCAGCCCATTAGTGTATGGAATTATTATTATTGTGTTGTTTTTTCCTTTTTATTATTTGAAAATTCCATCTTGCATGGAAAATGTGGCAGATGGATAATGTCTAAACTCTGAAAATGAATATATTTTTGAAAAATAATTAATCATATTATTTAAATAAAAAACTTTTTCTAAATATTTAAGAGTAATATGGAATGTTGCTGCTTTTATTGAATAACACGATCTGGGCAAACAGGATACAGCCATAGAACAAGTGTCTGCAGTCATCTTCACCATGTTGCCCCTTCACTCCAATCCACTGCACGAGCACCTTGAAAATCCTACACGCATGTGATATTTGAAAATCGGTAATGGCATATGGTCAGGTGTACCCCGACATGACAGCGTTTGGGCCTGGTGACTGGCCACTGAGGCAACAGCACTGTATTGTTGGGGGGTATCTGTGCTGCCTACTTAGACATCTTGGATTCTCTATGGAGTTTTGGCAGGTGGATCATCTATGGCTTTCAGTATGGTCTAGGTCCAAGTACATTCTTGTAACATTTAGGATCTTCAGCTTTCCCAGGAGGGTTTGGGTAGGCTGATTGGCATCACCTTTGCCTTAAC